GGTAACCGATCATAGCAAAGGGAATGTGTGATGGTTGCCATGGTAACCGACCATTGCAATGGGAATGTATGGTGGTTGCCACGTGTACCAGGGTGAATTTATGCTGATACTTTTGGTCTGTGTTTGGCCCAGACAACTGGAAAAGTTTAGTTCTTTCCCTGCCAAGTTTTGAGAAAACCAGCACTGATTAACGGGGACCTCGTCCTTGGAGAGAGAGCTTCTTGTATTAACTGTTTTATTGGTGTTCTGTGATTGGCTAATTGTCCTTCAAGGTCGCTTGAGGGAGAGACTGAGGAGGAGGAGGATGAAGGACGCCCCCAGACTCATTTGGAAAAGACCCCCCTGAGTACAGTACGCAGGCGCAGGGAAAGCCACGTGTGCGCAGAAGAGATGCACTGACATAACCAAGGGGGTGGGATGGAGAGCCTCTGGCTGGGCGGTGATGATCACTCCTGCCCAGGTTGAGGTCACTCACTTCATTGTATAAAAGCAGATAGTGCTCTCTTGGAGGGAGCAAGCTTCACACCAAGGACAACGTTGCCTTTTGGCAGGGACACTGCCAGTCTGTGAACTTACTGACTCTCCAAGGATGCAGCTTCTGCTGTGGGTAATTATAGGCATGCTAGGTTGGTAAGATAACTTTATGGGCAACAGCTGGGGAACTGGGGAGGTTGTGCTGGGGGCTTATTTCTCTCCTCCTTCCTTCCTTTTCGGTTTGTTCGTTTTGTTGGCCACCTCTTGGTAATAAATATCAGTTTTGTTGAGCTTGCAATGGTGTCATGGTTTCAAGATTCAGTATGAGCTTCAACGGTGTCAAGATTCAGTATGGTTCAAACCCTCCCTAATACACTTGCTAAAAAACACAACGGACCTTTCAGTTAACTTGTGCCATGAAGTTACATTGTACAATACTCAGCCTGGTTTCACATCCTAATATAATTTCTTTCTCACGCCTCTATGCTCCACTGATCATCTAATTCAAAAGTACCCCCCTTACAGGGTACAAGTCAGGC